GTGTAACAGTAATTACTGTAGTTTATAGTAATCACTGTATATAGTAATGAAACTTCTGACTGTTATAAGAAAGTGCAGCATTGTTTAAGTATCTTTTCTGTAAACTAGCGTTTAAAGTTGCGAGTTTGCCTAAGTCTTTGCCGCTTACGTATTATAACATTGCCAACGATACGTCGTCTCCAATTATGATGAAGTTTCTTTGCCATGAATATTTACCGCAGTATACGTTTTCATTATCATTTTAATACTTCTAAAACAGTTAAATAAATTTCATTTGTTTGTACAAATTTACTAAATACGAACATTTAACATAATGTTCTGGATACAGATTTCTCTAAATCACGCAGTTGACGATCAACTTTTCAACGAAGATTAAATTCATAACGATTTACCTTCACGAAATACAATACGAGTATTTGATCCTCGCACGCCAACAATCAATCACTAAATATTAGGGATAGGCGGGTACCCGAAAATTTTAGGTACTCGAGCCTTGGGTCGGGTTGAGCGTAACTCGGGTCGGATTGGGACCCGAAAGCTTCTGATATTCATACATCCGAAAATTTTGAATCCCCGTCATCGAACTCGAATCGGGTAGTGCTTAGGTCGAGCCGGAAGCCCTAAAATCTATTAGCACTACCTGATCTGACTTCAATGTCGGGTACCTGAGGGAAAATACAGGTATTTTCTCGAAATATCACTTAAGCTTATTAAAAACATTTGTTAACAAACTTATGTTATTAAAAACATTTCATTAAAGCTGCTAATTGGATTATGTCTTCGTTATACGTAAATCAATTCACATGCAGATGAAATTGAATTATCTTTATTGTTGTAGTAATAAAAATCAATACAGATAAATAATAAATCAATAACAATAAGAAGTGTAATATTTATAAGTAAATTAAGTATAATATTTAAAATAACTAAAAAATAAAATAAAATAATAATTATTTTATGCAAAAATATAAATACAAGTATAACATTCGAAAAATAATAAAGTTTTCGTAAATGTTTGCAATGCAATGAATTATGCACGATTATGTTGTTACAATAAAATTGTATGCAACATAAATACGTATAGTCCTCACGCGAGAAGGAGGCCCCACTGTCACAGCTAGTAAGACGGGGACTGTAAACACAAAAGTGCCTTCTTCTCGTGTGAGAATTATGCCTCGAGGCATGCCTTAAGGCCTCTATAGGCCCATGTAACTTTCAAGTCACAAGCTAATATAATATATCCACATTTTACCAAATAGTTTTAGTTTTTTTCACAAGATGATGTATACGTCTTAATTATATAATGCCTCTGAAATAACCAATAACAATATTGATGACGGTTGGCAGCACCATCAACCTGAAATGTCAAAATGAATACCTTCCAAGTTGTCTGCAGATAGAAACCAAAGGGACCATTTTGTGCAGTTGAGATTATTTGTGCTTTTGTCGGTGTTTACTAAATAAAAAAAAGCGTATATAATAGCTCTGGGTTCGTATATCAATAACAATTTATTTATTTGCATTTTAATAATCATTTTGTTACTATTTGTATATGATACAGTTTTGTAATTTTCAGGTTACATTGGGATGTTGTGGTAGATTCGAGTGTATTTAGGATAATAGTTATGCTTTCTTCTATTTTCAAATTTATATATCAAATATCCAAAATATGGATACAAAATCATATAAAAATAAAAGAGGAATTAGAATTAGACCCATTAACGGTAATAGATCCGAAGATTCTTTATTAGATTCTTTATTTCTGAATTTCACGCTTAAGCATTTATGCACACAAGTGTACTTCAAAGTTACAAATTGAATTAATTATAATAAAGTTGTTTAAACTGTTAAATATTT